TTGGGGTCCTTGTCGAACTCGGCCACGGCGACCATGAGCATCGCGGCAAAGAACAAGTTGAACAGCAGCGGGGCCAGGTTGCATCCCTGTCGGAGGCCTTGGCCCACGTCGAACCATTCCGAGTACTGCCCGTCGTCCGTTCGGACGCGCGCCCTCATGCCCTCGTGGAAGTGGCGAATGACCGCCAGCATCTTCGGGGGCACGCCGAAGAGTCGGAGCACGTCCCACAGTAGGTCCCGGTCCACCGAATCTATATACTTCCTCGTATTGATCCATGAATACTGCTGCTGCTTGCTACTCTGCTTCGAAGCACTCAAGAACGTACCGGCACAATTTATTCTGAGAAAATATATATTCCGATACACCATATACCCATATACTATATTGTACCTAACCCGAAGAACAGCTTTTCTCTTGGAGGTGTGCGGGAGTAGGCCCGAGGTGTCCACGAGTACATGGCTGAATCAAGTATTTCAAGTTTCTTTCATTCTTCGGGGGGGGCGTATGGAAAGAACGCCCTAAGGAGACGTTTGAAGAAAAATGTACCGAGCAGAGGTCGGACGGCTTGAGGACAACAACAACATACAACCTCTCATATCGATACGTATGATCGATCTCTGCCCAAAACTTGGATGACAAGCAGAGGCTACATGTACCACTCACTTACAACCAACAGGACGAAAAGGAGATACCTGCCGCAGTTGGTCTGATGAGTCGTCGGTGCTTTGTCCACACGAGACGCATCAAGCAAGATAGATACTGCGGTAGTCCCAAACAATTAGAATTTTCGCAGCAGGGAACATGCCGGACAAAGGGCGCGGATCGACCAACAGAGCCAACCTCCCCCGGTTGCGGACCGCGAGGCCTACGCATTGACTCGGTATAATCAATCATGAACAGCTCTCTGTGATGCATGAGATCATGAAGGCTGGGCCATGGATCATGTGGGCTGCTTCCTGCTGCGGACCACGCAATACCTACCCCAACGTAGATAAGCAATGTGCGGAGCCCCAGGTAGAAAAAATATATCTGTCTTGGCAGTTGGCAGAGAGGGAAGGAGGTGTACGCAGCACAGAGGACGTGGCCGCGAAAAAGAGGTGGGCAAAGAGAACTGATCTCCAGTCAGTGTAGATGTCATCGCCGCCGTCGCTTCACGTTCACAGAGTCTCTGAAGCACGAGAGAGCTTTGTCCGATGCATCATGATGTTGCCCTTCGTGTGCCTCTCTCTTCGTCCCCCAAAAGAGACGTTGTTAGGGTTGTTTAGGACAGACAGACGGGGTGAATTAGCTGAGCACGGGACGCCTGGCACAGCCACGCGACACCTCGGTCTGACGAACAGTAGCAATGGCAGGCGTTCGTTGTGAATCTCACTGCCTTCTTGGTTAGCTAGATGATTCCTTCACGGACGGTGAGATTCGTATGTTCCCTTCGACTGCGCCACCCCGAGTTTGATCGAGTTTAAGAGAGGGTCCGCCTTTTGAAGGGAAGTGCCAGCACAGCAGCAGCGCCTCTCAGCGACATCACCGAAAGCATGTCTTCTACCCCTTTATCTTCACGGGTCGTGCGCTGATCAAAGCTTCATCCCGTCCCCGTGATTGCGCGAAGCAGTTTTGCTGCAGCAAAGCCCGTTTCCAGCAGACTAACCATCTACACCTTGTCAGAGTCGAGAGGGTGGGGTGACTTCAACCCCCAACCCGCCGCTTCTGTTAGCGAAAAGAAAGAAAGTGGGTCAGGTTGAGGATTGAGGGTTACCCGCGACTTTGAGAATCTTCCATGCAGCAGGCAGCGGTGTAGCCGTTGTGTTTCAATTTTTTAGGCCCGGGTTTCATCCTGCTCCACGTTTATTAGTCGAGCCACAGCAAAGGTGGTGGTGGAATCATCTGGTGCCCGCACACTGTTGTTGCACACGGTGGGAAAGGTGGGAAAGGATGTTGATTTCTCCGCACGTTATGTCATGCCATACCCGAGAGGTATGCAAACAGCTTTAAGTGCCAGGTGCAAACTCATGCGACAAACACAACGTCCGTCCGTCGCCTGGGCTTTGCCTGACGGCGGGTGTGTACGCCACACGCATCACGGGGGTGATGAGGCGGCCTCTCTCGAAAAACGAGCCGCTGGCTGTGCTGAAGTCACGTCAACAGCAGTCCGTACCTAAATAGTCGGGGTAGACCGGACTGGAAAACTGGCGTGTTTCTCGCAGTGCGCTCTGAACATCGTTTGTGTATTTGCTTCGAGAGCGAACGCAGCGGCTGACTATCTGTCGAGCCTTGCTGGCTCACACGGGGAGCACGGCCGGAGAGCTTGAGCGCGTGTGTGTCATCGCGCCTGTCCCAGGGTGTAGTGCTGTCGTTGCTGCTGCTGCTGTTGCGGTGTGAAGAGTACCGCCCATTTTTCCTTCGGTATAATCAAGCGGGCACCGATTCGGCAGTCCAGTTAGGAGAGGTCCCACGAGGGAAATTCGCCCTGAGTGCTGCGCACGGTCTAACTAAACGGGTCGTAGGACTTTGCCCCAAGCTTCTAGCCGTTCATGTGACGCAGCTAGCAGACTCAGCTTTTTTGCGCAACAGGCTTGCGCAAACCAAAGCGCTAGACTTTCAGCAGCGGCAGTTTTTTTTGATGTTTTTCGAACAAGCTACGTACAGCAGCAACGGAACGGTGGGATTAGGCGGGGGCCCTGTGCACTACCGGGATGGTGCTGCTGCCGATGGCCTCTTGTTGAAAGGCGAGGAGCCTGTGCATGACAAGGACTTACCGAAAGAGGAGGAGAGATGGCATCCCCCCTAGACCCTATTTCCCCCGTAGACCGTCTTTCAATGCTCGGTTCCTCGGAAAGAGAAGGCTGCGGTCTCGAAGAGGGGTCATGTGTCCCCTGGGATGAGGAACGGGTGGAGATATCGTAACCCGACACCATGCCGAAAAACGACCACCACCCCCCCCCCCCCCC